GGGGGGGGGGGGCAAGTGAAAATTGGACACCCATAACAAAAGATTTTGAGAACAGCTCTGTTGTTTTGCAAAAAGCAAGGGGACATGATACATATTTATTCATTCATCAACTTTCACTTTCACAAGTATAAGTGTTCATACACATTTATTAATGTGTCCTCTTTGTAGGTTCTGATCAGGGGTGTTATGCTATCAAAATAACAAGGGGGCTCTTGAGCAAACACTGCAAAAACTATAGCAAAGTAGATATTGGCTACTTTTCGGCATTAAAAGGGGGGTTCCGCCCCTGAGCCCTCCTAGTACAACACTCCTGGCTCTGATGCAAGTTTTAATATAGTTCAAAGACTCCTAACAAAATATTTTGTTAAAAAGCTCTTTTCTTTCGCAAGTAGGGGCCCTTCTCCATATCTTCAGGAGTTCTGTTCTTCATACAGAGGACTTCGGGGGTACACTCTTTCAATAAAAACAAACTTTAAAGGAACAGAGACACTCGTTTTGCCAAAACCAAAACATATTTCATCAGCTGATTAACCCTGCTGTTAGCAATGCCATGCGAAACAATCATTTGTGGTCTAAGATGTAATTTTGTGTCTAGTTGTAGCAAAACCAATTTCAAATTAAGAACAACAATTATAAAATTTAAGTCCAAATTATTGAAAAATGAAACATCAAGCCTCAAAAGAAATTATATCTTTTTCTTATCAAAACTAAAAAAGTATATGCTGCACAATGTTCTGATAATTCTTGACTCCAGATTCCTAAAATTCACAGATTCATTATTTTGTTTTATTATGTTTCCTTTATATATTACGTGTAACTTTTGAACAGAAGCACCAGAAGAGCTACAGGGAAAAAAAGCGCTAGGAAAAGGGCATAAAGAGCAAAATAAATGTTTCCCTTTGACAAATGCCAAAGTAAAAATAATTCAATTATTGAGACCCTAGAATTTGAAAATAATTGAATGGGATCTGCTCAAAGCTTCCTCATTTCTATGTTTTCTGGCCCTATTAGTTGTCCCTCAATTCTCAGTCAGCAGAATGCAAAAAATTTCTAGTCTAAATGGAGTTTTAAAGGCTATTTTACTTTTTTTGTATGCCAGGATGAAATATCAGCCATTACTGATTTATGCGTGTTTGTTGTTTTTCATTCTCAACGCGTTGCGGTGTTACTTATTTACTACTATTTATTGATTTTTCGTCTCAACAATCCCATCAGAGTCCGTCGAGCAGCCTGCTTTCGTGACCTTTTCTTTATTCACACACTCACATATTCTGTGATATACCTGTTCACTCCTTCCAGTGCAATCCCTTCCAACAGACATTCGCTGATATCAAACACAAGTCCAAACTGAGTACTTAATGGACAGCATTCAATAAATGGCCAGCCTTTTGCTCCAATGACCCTGCACCTTCTGTCTCTATTTCTGTTAGCAGTTAGCAAAAAATGCAAGCTAAATATCATTTTCTAAGAGAATTTTAACACCAAGGCTGACACCACACCTATCCTCTAGTAGAATGTCTCAAATCAGTGGCAGAAACTGTTTTGACAGGCAAATGCTTTTTATGAGTCAAAAAAATTTACCTTCACAGTGACCCATACTTACCCAAATGATATTAATTCTCAACTTTGAATAATTTATGCTAAATGTCAAAGTCCCAGTATCTTCAAAAAGATGAGACTTAATTTCAAACTGTTATGCTGGAGAAGTCCATAACTTGGTTTGATTGCAGGATAAGGATTTTTGAGAAAAATGTTTGAGCTTTGTTTTCAAAATCTGGTTGTTCTGGAATGTTTGTTATGGAATGGGGCAGAGGGTCAGTTTTCTCCTAATATTTGGAGGGCAACGGTCTTTTTTCTGAAACAATGGAAAAATGTGATCTCATTTTATCAAAACAATAGGCTTGCCTCACCAATACTTCACCAAGTGTCTGCCCCTGGGTATTTGGAAATGTCCCTTGTTGGGGAATGCCCCTTGTTTGATATTTAGATTTGTACTTTATTGATAGTTGTACAAATTGTAAGGAAATATCTCTAGGATGACTGGTACCTGCAATCTAGAGGCTATATTTGTATGGCTTGAGCTGGAGGCTGAGATTGTGAGGTTTTACAGGGGCTTTCTAACTTTTATGAAGATCTTTGGTCTAAAACTAGTTCTTCCTATTGGTAAACTGCAAGTTCAGAGCAGGCAAAATACATAGTATTGACAAAAGGAGATTATCTATCTCTTAATTTGACTTCTTATCTTTTCTAGACAATGTTTTTTTTATTTTTGAATCAAGACTTCTAGATTTCTCCCATGTTTTTAATAGAAAAGGAACCAAGTTTTATTAGTTTTGTCATTTTTATGATTAACCTAACTTTTTCCGCGAATAGAGAAAAAAATATATTGGCAAGGCCACATATTTCCCAAATATGTTGAAGGCTCTACGTTAGTTATGAAAGCATCAGGAAATTGGGACAGCAGGACCTTTGAATTTTCCTAAATTCCCACATGATAGTGTAAGAAAGCAGGTTAGTCTGCTGCCCCCCATTTCCTATGTCACAATTGAAGACTGTCTTTGACAAATATCAACTGGCCAATGCAATTTTGACCTTAAATTAGTTCAATTGCAGTGTTGAAAAAATTAGTAGCTAATGAAATGTCAGACTGTTACTCCAGGGCCTTTTTTAACATACTAACTAAAAGGGCAACTGCCCCAGGGGCCCTAGTGACTTTCCTTTGTTTATAACAATAGGCTGTTGTCCTCCTTTTTATATAAACAAATGCTTGCCTCTGCAGCTAATTTCTCTTCTTAAAGTGTATGCGTTACTGACAATATTTCAACTGTTTACAAATGCTGAAAAAACAAGGAATTTATAGAGAAATTCTGGCTACAGCAACTTTATTGTTCTGTAAGCAATTTCGCTAGTAGAAAGAGCATTTTTTCTATCCATGATTCTGTTCACCGTTTATCCTTAGCTTAAAGGTCATCTGTGGTTTTGTCTTTTTCGCCTTGATGTGGTTTTCAAGAAAAAGTACTTACTGCGTCTTATAATCCCTGTGTTTTCCCGAGAGCTGTATTAACCTAATCGAATTTAAATAATCCCGATAACCTTTTTAATAATGAATTTTTGACTTGAATATTGAATCTTTTTAATAATGAATTCTTAGTAGCACCTGCAGTTTTTGCTTGCACAAATCAAGCGGTTTTCAACTAACTGTTTTACCATACCGTAAAATAAAATTTTCTTGCAAAGCATTAAAAACTGCTATTTGGTGCTTAATCTTGCATTTCAAGAGAGAAAATTCCAGGTTCTGGTTTTCTAATCTTAATCCCTTCTTCAGTTTGAGTTTTTTGTAGGATTTTGGTAATCGTCAAGTCAATGATTTCTTTACCTGCGTTTTACACCAAAATCTCTCTGTGGCTTCAATCTTTCAGAACCTCCGAGTTCTGATTAGAAGTCTAACAGATTGCTTCTTCACACCAATCCTTTACCCCCCCCCCTCCACTCTCTGCCTATCTCCCCCCCACTCTCTGCCTCTCTCCCTCCCACTCTCTGCCTCTCTCCCTCCCACTCTCTGCCTTCCTCTCAGTCTCTGCCTGCCTCCCTCCCACGCTTTGCCTCCCTCCCACTCTCTGCCTCACTTTCTGCCCCTATTCCTCCAGTGCTCTGCCTCCCGTCCTCCTGTCTTCTGCCTCCCTCCCACTCTCTGCCTCTCTCCCTCCCACTCTCTGCCTCCCTCTCAGTCTCTGCCTGCCTCTCTCCCTCCCAAGCTCTGCCTCCCTCCCACTCTCTGCCTCACTCTCTGCCTCTATTCCTCCAGCTCTCTGCCTCCCTCTCTCCAGTCTTCTGCCTCCTTACCACTCTCTGCCTCACTTTCTGCCTCCCTCTCACTCTATTTCTCCCTTCCACTCCTCCTCTAAGCAATGTTGTTCAGTAAAATTTGGTGAAAATTATCGCAGATCGCGTATACCAACATCGTGTGAAGTAATAACATCACTACAACGTAGCTTGAAGGCTTTGAACACAATTCTCATGAATTGTTGCTAATGACTTCGGTATGATATCATAACTCAAAACAGTTGCATCCCGGTCGGACCTTCAAAAAGGTAAGGAAATGATCCGACTTGGGAATGGTCCGACTTCGGAACTGTCCTGCAATGGGAATCAAAAACAGTCCGAATTAACCAAAGTCCGAGTTAGCTGGGGTATGACTTTGACTTGAATAAGGGAGGAAAATCCAAATGGAATCCGAATTCGGTCCGACTTAGTGACGGTCCGAGTTATCCGGGTTACAACTTAACAAGATTCAACTGCATATTTGTTAATTATAGATGTCACTATGAAAATGCAATTCAATATTTACTTTGATGTGATCCAGATTGCAGTTCAACAACTTAGAATGCGAAAATGGCTTTGAAAAAAGCAAACATTTTACCACATACTAAAAGCTTTTTCGTCTGACACTCCTCAGAGCATAAAACGTCAGAATAAGGTTCCGAAAGAACACGATGGAAAATATATACCCAGTTGTGGATCGAAATAGGCCAATCAGAAAAACACAAGCACAAGATCGGTATGGAATTACTAACTACAAACTTAGAATGCATGGAATTTCGTTGTAGACTTTGACACACAAACATGAAGTGAATTGTTTACGTATGTGCTTATTAAAGTAGTGGATTTTCCATAGAAGTCTTTGAACATGTTTAAATTCTAGTTATCTTGCTAATATTTGAGTTTCTCGCAATCGAACTTTTGTCGTGAAATTCAATGCAATGCCCAAACATTGG